GGTCGGACGTCCCGAAACTTCAGTCCATGCCCTGGGGGAATCCGCAGAAACTAAGATCCCTCATCTCCGTCCCCTCAGCGCCGCGGGAGCGCCCGTACGAGCGTCTTCGGCCCCTGCTTCGCCTCGCACGACATGGAGTAATTTTTAAGGACCGCCGACCCCGACGTCCTACCGCGAAGTCCTCTCAATTTCTCCTCCCGTGGCCCGGAACATGCCAAACGCAGCGTCAGATATCGTTCAACCATCGTTAGTGTCGGATCATGCATAGATTTGTTCTCCTCATGGATGGGGTTCTGGCAACGATCGTCTTGGCTTTGGCTTGTTTCTTCTCAGTTCCGCTGTTGCTTGAAAAGAAATTTTCTCGTTTGAATCCAGCTCGCCTACTAGAATCCTTACTAGTATGGGCACCTCCAACATGCCACCGTGACTAAGTGACTGGTAAAGGTCACACCTCGAGCTACGGGGTGGTAAACTTTGATTAAATTCTACTTGGGCGTACTCGGGGTGTCGGACTGCCGCAGCGGCTGCGTGTCTTGATGGGGACATTCATTGGGCGGAGTTTTGAAATTACTATCGCACTGTATAACCGCTGGGATTGCGATGAACATCTAATCGAAACCTGGTGCGCGGAAAATCGGTGCCAGGAACTCGCCGGCGGGCTCGAGATTTCCGGTTCTCCCTGTAGCAGACGTGCATCTCCCAGCTAGCCCGCCCAGGTCATCAAGGTCCAAATATGGGAATCTGCTCAGCGGGATGCTGAAACCAGGCCTCCAAATCGTCACGTTGAATGCCAGGTCGGGGTTCGGCTTGCCTCCTGGTCTTTCTCCCAGTGATGCGACACGCTCCCATAGGCAAGTATTGATGTTAACTTTTGCCCTGTTGTGCGCGGTGACGCCCAACTTCGCGTCGTCCAGTTGATCAATCGGTTGTCCCCGCATACTTCAGCTCGATTCCGACATCATTCATGTTTCACCATGCTCAGATCGAATCACTTGGCAATGCCCGACCAGTAACGTGACTCAAAATTAAGCTCAAATTACACACACCAGCCGAGCCCGAGACTGGAAAGACGCTCGGAAGCCAGCTGCTCTTTCGCCTTTGTGACCTCCTGCAGGATATCTTCCTCGCTAACAGTAGATTTTGACGCAGACGATGGAATTCCTGGGTTGGCTTCGCCAATCGAGGGTGCCCTTATTGGCCCCAGCTTGTCGATCTCTGACGGCTTGACGTTCATCACGAATGCAACGTGGTCGATGATGACACGGAACGCAGCCGAGGGATTCTTCAGTGCCTCATTGTAATTTACGTCGATTGCGCCCCAGAGTTTCCATCGTCGGTACGCTGTCGCCCACGTTCTAATGGTCGCAAAATTGGTCGCTCGCGCGGGCATCCACCCGCCCC